CCGCGGTTCTATCAGATCAGATCAGGTAGCAGTTCCATTCTTATCATTTCCAGGTGGGGTACAGAAGTTCATACTCCAGTCATTTCAGTACATAGTCAGTAGTTTCGCAATTAGTCTGAGTCCATTTATTGTCAATCTTACATCAGGGTCTGGTATCATTATAATTCATATCGAAGCAGTACAAGTCATATACAATGTGTTCCTTCCATTAAGTTTACAGGCAATGCAATTAGTCACATCGAGAGGTAAACATCACAGTCAGTATAGCAACTTCCAAATAAATCCTTCTTATAGGCATGTAGCATACAGTAATACATTACGCGAGATTGTCGGACACATAATAGGGAGTTGCCCTATGAGGGTTCCAAATCAGTCATACAGTCACTAGAGCATAGGCTCGCAGGTCTATTCCAACAGTCAAGAGTTTATTCGTCGGGGTCTTTATTCAGTCACACAATTCTGGAGTCATAGTCCCAACGGTTAAGTTATCAACAAATTATACACCAATCAGTCCGAGCAAAGGTACAGTCATATATGTGCACTCTCAGAGTCCACTAATATTCCCAATACGGATGCATAAGTTCAATGTACAAGTTATCAACAAATTATATACCAATCAGTCCGAGCAAAGGTACAGTCATATATGTGCACTTTCAGAGTCTACTAATATTCCCAATACGGATTCACAAGTTCAATGTACAATACAAAATAGTTTTCCCCAGATACAATAGTTAAGGTAGCAAGTCATAAGTCTACCCAGTCTAGTAACATTCTTAAGCAAAGGTATGCGAACATGTACATGAGTCTAAACAGTTTTCATAGCATAGGTAATTGTTAACATAAGGCGTTACGGTGTTGTACATAGTCCGCATCAAATAGTAGATCTCGAAAGACTCATTAACCACAGTCCAGACCTGACAGCCCTAATCGTATTACAAGCATGGGAACATATGTACAGGTGTGAGTCTAAAATCAATTATCTTGTGAGCATTCGTTCGCAAATTCATACGCAGTAGTTCATCTTTACAAGCTAATATGGGTTCTTAATTTCAGAAGTCTCATACACAAACAGTTCACGTATATAATTCGAGTTCAAGGGTCCGATCATTTAATGATGTTCGTCAATATATAATAGTTCAGTCCGAATCATAGCTGTACAAATTTCTCGAATTATAGTCAGTCATAAGGTGTTCCCATGTTCAACAGTTCTAGCACAGTTCAAAAGGTCATGCTTAATAGTTCACATTCAGTTATTGCCATATGATACAAGGACCTAACTCAGTAAACTCTCATTGGTCACAAGTCCTGACAATTCTCATAGTATAGGGTTCATAATTTCAGTAATTCAGTTGGTCCAGTCAGTATGTTCACAGTCTTTATCGGATTAAGGAATGTACGATTCCCACTCAAATGTTCGTATAGGCAATTACACATAGTTAAGGTAGATACCCGCGTCAGTCATCTCAGTGTTCCGAGCATTCTCTGGAACTAGGGTCTAGATTTAGACTCAATATTGTTCGGTTGAGTTTGTGGGCAAGATTTAGGCAAGTGTCCTTCCTGTCCTCGTCTAAAGCGAGTTTCCGACAGGCGGTGGCAACGCCCTAATGTTATTTCCCACAATCGGTACAGATAGGTATATCATTGGTCAAGGCTATTGCCCGAGGTTTTCCATTCGCAGTGGTCATTTTCACTTTCTGTTACTTCCGTTTCATTCTTTCTGATTCGGTCGACGATGTTGATTTGGATATTTCAATGCTGCTACGTTGTCTCAGGCATTAATACTCTATCCAGGGCATCTACATGCTTTGTTGGGTTTTAGCACGTCAATTCAGTCAAACACATCTAGGTCACGCCCACCTTCAATTCTTTTCTATTCTTTTGTAGACAGTATCTAACATGTGGGGTGCCTATCAAATTAGCTGGGTAAATTTCACCTCGCATTCGACCACAGTCTTATCACCTTACTCAAGTTGTTCAAACTCAGATACTTTCCTATCTTGGATGCATTGGGGGAAAGTATTTTTCGAAGAACACTTCACCTATTTTCTCCGTTTCTGAACCCAAGCCTCAGTTTCAGTGGTTCGGTACTTCCCAGAAATTTCGGTGGTTTCAATTCGTTGGGTTTCTCTATCAGTGTCATCAGTTCATATTCAGTTGGTTCAGGCACATGTGTCTGCCTTTATTATTTCAGATTTTCGATTAAGGCTTCAATCATTCATTCTAGCCTATTAATTAGAGAGAAGCTGGTCAATCTCCACTGGCGTCTTAGTGTTCGTTCTGAATCTGGTCACAAATGCCTCCGCTAGTTGCGCCCATGAAGCTATTCTACATTCCGGCAACCTTTTAAACCACGTTAAACCCAGGTCACTAAGGCTAGAAGGAAGTAGGATATACATTAGAGCCTCGTTTCGTCGATACACTGCCATAACCTAGCAAAAGTGGCTCAAGTGTATGTAGGGGTCTGACTTCCCCTTATAAGTAGTGGATTTGGGCTGGTGGAAGCTTGAGGGTAATGGTGCATTCTTTATCGTCGGAACAAACGACGAGTTCTGCAACCTTGCTAACGCTTTGTTTGCTGGTTCATAGGCAAGGCGTGGCTCTGGCATTCCAACCTCGACACTCCCATGTATTCTTGAAGCCAACCGTTGTAGTGCGGAGACTCTGCGGGGGTCGTAAGCCTGAGTGTTTTCTCTCTTTCGAGCCCTTTCCTCTAGGACTGTCCACAGGTCTATCGACCTAGGCAACTTCGTGTGCCTGTGTCACGACCCAAACCCGGCCCTATGGGTTTAGCACCGTAACCGGCCAGTAATCCGAGATTACCGAAGGCCTGCCTAACAGTAATCTAGTAAAACAGAGTACAGGGCCTGGCGGAAGCCAATACAGTAAATAAACAATATCCAATGAGTTGTGACAGTCTACACATACATGTACAATCATTCAGAACAGGGATCTAATCCCTATTAAACAGTACAGTAACAGTCTACACAGTCTACAAAACAGTTACAGGGACAGACGGGGAATATTAAAACACTCCAAAGCCGAAGCTTGAACGGCTTAGAACCTCACAGTGAGGTACAGTGGTTGGCTGACAAAACAAAAGCTTGCTTGACCCTCCTAGCAGCGGTCCAGTGCCTGAACACCTACATATATATATGAGCAGTGAGCTAAAGCCCAGTGAATAACATAATGCGTAAAGAGGTTTAGGATGAATGTCTTTTCAAAATTTAAACAGTTCATTGATTCAGTATATCGGTCAGTCAGTTTGTGGCTCACATTGATGCCGTAACAGTCATTTAGAAATCATAGTAATCGTACGTGGCACGTCCGTTAGCAGTACTAGTAGCAGTAACGGTACAGTAGCAGTAACGGTAACAATATAGTAACAGTACAGTAGCAGTACAGTAGCAGTAACAGTAACAGTACAGTAACAGTACAGTAGCAGTACAGTAGCAGTAACAGTACAGTAGCAGTACAGTAGCAGTACAGTAGCAGTAACAGTACAGTAACAGTACAGTAGCTGTACAGTAACAGTAACAGTACAGTAGCAGTACAGTAGCAGTAACAGTAACAGTAACAGTAACAGTAATAGTACAGTAACAGTACAGTAGCAGTACAGTAACAGTAACAGTACAGTAGCAGTACAGTAGTAGTACAGTAGCAGTACAGTAGCAGTAACAGTAGCAGTAACAGCAGAGACATAAGCAATAACTCTTCCATTTTGCATAAGTACACAACCAAGCCCTTGGTACGAAGCATCACTGTAGATTACAAATCCTTCAGTACCGGATGGTAAGGCCAGCACTGTTGCTGTAGTCAACTTTGTCTTCAATTCCTGGAAAGCAGATTCCCGCTCTTCTGACCATTCAAATGCAACTCCCTTTCGAGTCAGTTGTGTAAGCGGCATAGCGATTTTAGGAAAATCTTGCACAAATCTTCTGTAATATCTGGCTAACCCCATAAAACTACGCACTTCAGTCACATTAGTGGGAGTTGGCCAGGATCAACTCGCCTCAATCTTATGTGGATCAACAGAAACTCCTTCCTTTGTGATCACATGCCCCAGAAATGCCACCTCTAGTAGCCAGAATTCACATTTCTTCAGTTTTGCATACAGTTTCTTTTCCCGGAGGGTTTGAAGGATCAAGCGAAGATGATTCTCATGAGCTTCTGCAGTCTTTGAATAAATGAGGATATCATCAATAAAAACCACCACAAATTCATCCAAATAAGGCTTAAAGACGCGGTTCATCAAATCTATAAAAGCTGCTAGGGCATTCGTAACTCCAAAGGGCATAACCAGAAACTCATAATGACCGTACCGGGTTCGAAAAGCTGTTTTCTCAACATCATCAGCCTTGACTTTTAATTGATGGTATCCAGACCGTAGATCGATTTTAGAAAAGACTTGTGCTCCTTGAAGTTAGTCAAATAAGTCATCGATCCTTGGCAATGGGTACTTGTTCTTGATTGTGACCTTATTAAGTTCCCTGTAATCGATACAAAGCCAGAGTGTTCCATCCTTCTTTTTCACAAACAGAACTGGTGCGCCCCACAGAGACACACTCGGACGAACGAATCCCTTATCCAGCAAATCTTGCAGTTGAATTTTTAGTTCCTTCATCTCGACTGGGGACATTCTATACGGAGTCTTAGAAATGGGTTAAGTCCCCGGTGCTACTTCAATGGTAAATTCAATTTCATGGTCTATTAACTGTCTTGGTAGTTCTTCCGGAAAGACATCCGGAAATTCACAAACAACTGGAATTATGTCGATACCCCCATTCATCACTTGCCCCTTCAAAACACTGCATAAATACCCTTGGCACCCTTTCTGAATTAATTTACAAGCCTTCGTTGCCGAGAACAAATAAGGTGGAGAAGTCACTTCTTATCCCTGAAACACAGACCCTGATTGACCCGGAGGGTGGAAACTAATTTTCTTTATCAGACAATCTATAGTTGCACCATATTTACCCAACCAATCCATTCCCAGAACAATATCAAAATACGTCATGTCGAGAGGTAGCGTATACCCGAATATCCCCAAGGTGAAGTTCACAAGCAGTATATATGGAAGTACAAATCATGGAATCCCCCAAAGGTGAGGACACATATAACATATAAGATAAGACTTCTTCAGGTTTATCTAAATTAGGAGCAAATAGTTTTGACACAAAAGAATTGGTAGAGCCAGAATCAAACAATACACAAGCAGAATGATCGTGAACCATAAATGTACCTGACACTACTGTTGCCGCATTTTGCACATCTCTCGGAACTAATGCGAACACCCTGCCTTGTCTTGCGGTGTCCTTATTATTAGTCGGTTTGGCCGGTACCTTATTGTTGGTAGTTAGTGTAGACCCCGCTGAACTGGTAGCAGCCCTGTTGCCATTTTGTTGCTGTTTCCTTTGAGGAAAATCCCTTATCACATGACCCATTTTTTCACAATGGAAACAGGCTCCAGACCCCTGATAGCACATTTCACGATGCCTCTTTCCACACTTCGAACATACGGCGATTGAACCCTGACTAGGGGTAGAAGCAGTTGCAGTCCCTGAGTTTTGTTTCTTGTTTGGTGGAGTAGTTGACCCCTTAGACCATTGACTATTTTGTCTTTTCCCTTTCCATTCAGAAATGCGGTTTTGGGTAGCAATATTCCCTTCTGCTATGACGGCCCTCTCCAACACATCTACATAGGTAGGTAACTTCAACATATTAACTCGGTCCAGAATAGCACCTCGTAGTCCCCCTTCAAATTTCTGTGCCTTCTTATAGTCTGTGTCCACCATATGAGGTACGAACCGGGCCAACTCTGCAAACTAGGCTTCATATTCAGCAATGGTCTTGTTCCCTTGTCTGAGAGTTTCGAATTCAGTCACCTTCTTATCTCGCATACTCTAAGGGAAATACTTATCATAAAATAATTCCAAGAATCTGTCCCATGTCAATCCTTGATGTATAGTCCTTGTAAGCATCCACCATCTCTGTGCCTCATCCTCAAGAGTGAAGGCAGCCAGTTGTACCTTTTGAGCTTCGATACAAGGGAAAACTTCAAATAACTTCTCTATTCCCAATACCCATGCCTCAGCTTTCATTGGTTCTATTCCTCCTTTGAAGGATGGTGGTTTCATCTTTTTGAACTCCTTAGTAAGGGTAATAGTCTGGTCTTCGGCATGGAAATCTTGTACTACCAGTGGAGGTACCGGTGGCGGGAGCGGTTGTTGTTGTGGCTGTTGCTGTTGTTGCCATAGGGTCTCCGCCATTTCCATAATCATTCTCTCCATTCTATCCAACCGTGCAGAAGTAGCATCTTCTGCATCTTCTGTCCTCGTTCTCACCATTGCCTACACAACAATCATTTAGATACAATAGACATAATTCAAACTTGTTAGCATTAGCATGATCAAAGTACACTTAACGTTGTCATCGATCTTTCATATACTTTCAGGATGTCATGCAAGATGCCTAAAGCTTTTCTAGACACCCTAAAGCTCAATGGATCCGTATGTGAGATAGCAACTCGCGCTCTGATACCACTTGTCACGACCTCAAACCGGCCCCTAAAAGTTTGGGCATGACCCGTTCGAAAACGAACATTTAACCTGTTGTATATAACATATGGGGCCTTATCGGAAGCACATAATATAAAAATAATGATACATGTAAACTCCATTAAGCTACTTCTACATGCCAGGATCTCATACATCACATGCATCATAGTAGATAGGTAAAGTTCCAAACTATATCCCGGAGCATCGGTTATATACAACTACATATATAGTCTCAGTCCTATAATTGGGCACATACAAAAAGCATTGAAGTTTTACACATTCAACCTTGGGTGGACAATCAAAAGTAAGCCAACATCTTAACAGATTTTACAAAATAAATGGTCTCATGCAGTGCCTGGACCCACGAAGGTTGACAAAAGAAAACGGGTGTCATGGCTAGGACTGACCACCCAGTTGGTTACCTACAGAAACATACATAACACAGAGTGAGCCAGGCTCAGTGAATAGTAATACATAAATGAAACAATGCTTAACTTGAACATAATACCAAAGCGTATAAAAAGACAGAGTTCACATAGTTAGTCTAATTCTGTATTGATTTTATAACGGCCTTAGGCCCATTCTTGAAACGTAATAGCTTGAAACATAATATTTGGAAACATGATGACTATAAGCCCTTAAACGTAGTGGCACAAGGCCCTTAAACATGGTGGCACGAGGCCTTTGAATAAGTTGGCATTAAGCCCTTGAAACATTTGGCATTAAGCCCTTGAAACATTTGGCGTTAAGCCCTTGAGTATGCTTGTATGAACTCAAGAGGTGTCTCACACGGACTCTAGAGGTGACTCACATCGTAGCACTTAGTTCCGTGTAGCACTTTGTTTCATATCATAATAACTTATACGGAATGGCCATAGGCCTCATAACTTTCACATATGTAT